AYYACTMMWMAAAAAAAAAWTAGAATCCAAAAAACTGTCTAGAAAGGATACCTTATGTTATTACCTTTGATCAACTTTGGTTCAAAAGCCCCTGGAGCTTTATGTCTAGCCAGAGATACCCAGTTCTCCAGAGGGAGGAGCAGTAAGGATAAGGATAAGGCTGGGTCCCTGAGCACCACCATGACCAGAGTGTGCCTGGAGACTTTCTAGATACCCCTGTAAGCATTTGGAGAAGCACTGGAAACACTCTTGGCATGARTTCAACTAGCATGAAGTCAAGTCACTTAAGTTCTTAATTTCTCTTTTGTACTAAACATGATTCAAAAATTGCTTTTTGTAACTCTATCCTCATCACCAAAGTTCTTTCAGAATGAAGTTTCATGCCTAATCCTATGAATCTCACGGTTGTTAATGTGGGAATAAGTCATCACCTTTAAAGAACACGGTGACCTGGTTAAGAGAAAACGGATTACTCCTTTCTCATCAGAAAAAGTTACTCATGTGTCTGCCTGTTCCCTGCTCTTCTCAGAGTCACCRAAGTGCACCTTCCGTCGATAAATGACAACATTTTTGCTGCATGACATGATTCGAGCCACCTCTTTGTGCTTCATTTCTTCATCTGCCCTAGATGGGCTATTAATATCAAGCAGGTATGTTGTAAATTATTAGCTGAGCACCTGGTGTGTTTCCTCCTATGTGCCTGTCATTAATGCACTGCAAGAATCAACTGCCCCCCACCACCCGCCTCCATATTGGGGATTGAATCCAGGRATGCTAGGCAAGCGCTCTACCACTGAGCTACCTTCCCAGGCCTTGCCGAATCAGTTTTTAAATGTGAAAAATCTTCGAAGATATTTAAATTAGCTGACTTGAGGGCTAATCTAGTGGGGGGTAATGGCCTGGATGCATGATTGTGGAGAGACTGCCATATGCATTCRTTAGGAGTTTTGCAAAGCTCCAGAGTACACAGAAGCGGAAGACCAGGCACCTGTGTGGCTCCATCCACCCCATCAGGCTCCATCACCCCATTATTCACTAATGACCCACATGGGTCATAAAGACCTCGATGGAAGGCCAAGACCCAGAGGCCAAGCTAGAGAAGAGGGGCAAATGATGTCCTGCAGACACCAAAGGACAGAACTAGAAAAGGTAACTCCAGTACACCAAGGAGTCAATATGGGATGAGAAATGGGAGGGGAAGGCAACGTCACGGCAGATACAGGGCCAACAGAGACCAAGTGACAAACTGACGATTTACAAATTGTTACAGAAGAAACTTCCTTTGTTTCTTTTTCTTCCCCCCCCCCCTCTTTCTCCTTCCTCCTTCCTTCTTCCCTCCTTCCTTTCTGGTCTCTCCCTCTCCTGCTTCTTCCCTTTCCTCCTCCTCCTTCCTCTCTTCCCCCTACATTTCTTTCTAGTACCAGCCTCAGAGCATAAACACAAACCCTCAGTCAGTGCATAGCAGTAAGGCAGACATGGGATTTTCTAAAATCATTGGCATCCAAAGCCAAAGAGAGCTTACCGTATCTTACCTGCAAGATTCTGGATGCTTCCCCAGCCCATCTATCTCTCAACCAGGGAATAGCTCCCTTCCACCAGCCCACCTGTGTGTATCCCCTCATTTCTGTTCAAGATTCGCTGCCTCGGGCAAGGAATCTAACTGAGCATTTATCAAGAACAGACTTGAAACTCTTTCATCTTTGTCCTCTCCTCCACCCCCAGAGTCTGCCCTTCTCAGAGGGACTTCACTCTGGGTTGGTATGTAATTGTGTTTACCCCGCAGCCTGCAGCAGCGCCTGTCGAGGTGACCTCTGTCTGTCCACCCTGTCTGGCTCTTTGACCCGTGGACCACCCACAGCTCTGCTCCCAGCATCCAAGATACTGATAAGCAACCTTCTCTCAAATTTTTCTCTGCAGTTACCAGCCAGCCAGATTCCACARCCAGCCAGCAATGGAGTCAGCAAGAGCAGATATGAAGTTATTACGAGAATAATTATCATGATCATACTAGGAGGGAGGGAGCAGGATCTTCCTCCTAACACAACACCTACACGTGCACACACGAGTTCACGCACATACACTGCTATACATCCATGCGTGGGCCGGCGTGCACACACACATCTGAATTCATTTCTCTCCAGTTCTCAACCCTGGAGGTCAAATCTCTCACTTTCTTGTCCCATCCACCCCCTTGGTGGCCCTCAACTCAAGAGAACTTGAGACCAGGTTTCCACCTGGGTCCAAATGGGTTGGGTCAGCAAAATTTAAAATCTTAAAGGATGTGGATTCTCTGTCATGAGCAATAGGAAAAGGGATGAGGACATAAAAACATAATTTCCTCAGGGTCCCTACAGAAGCATACAGAAACTATTTTCTGAGCACATTCTTTACATCAAGTATTGGGTTAGCTTTGAACAGCATACTCTCCTTCCATCTTTTATTTTTGAAAGATTAAAGCAATGAGGTGATGATTATTCCCCCATTTTATAGCTTAAGAAATTGAGGCTCAGAAAGGCCACACACCACACTGAGGGCTGAGCTCCAGAGACAGGTTACAGCTTTGATCGAAACTGAAAGGAGTCCTTTCAAGCCTGTGGCCCCCACCGAGATCGTGTGACCCAGGGATTGGAGACACAGGGCCCTTTTCACCTTTTGACCATCTTTAAAACCTTGAACACACACGTTCCAACGTGTCACACCCCAAGCTTTTAGTTCACCAGGKTGGCCACTCACCTCACTGGTGCTGCCACATAAAGTCATCTTGGGTACATGCCAACATGTCCCGGCCACTGCCGAGTGCTTTGAGTTTCTTATAAATATGTCATTGAGGAAGCTGTAAATCTTCCCTGGTCTTTACACTTGAGACGGATGCTTGTCCCTGCATGCAGTAAAAGCGAGAGTGAGAGCAGGCTGCCTCCACACACCTGCAGCGGGCTCAGAGGCCAGGCAAGGCCGGGCATGAGTTTCGCAATGACCCGGGCAGGCCACATCATGATCGTATCTTCTTCAAGTTTGAGCAATCCTTGTYGTTTTTGGCACTTTACTGACTTCCCTGTTTCTGATGAGGAATGTGAGCAGCGGTTAGCTGTCAGTGACTCTATGAAACCAAACAAAACAACACAGTTGACTTGTCATTGTCATCTACGACCCCAACGCCTCCAACAGGGCCGTTCAGAACACCTACACCCACTCAGCCACCCAAGCACTCCCTTTAATAAAGCTGTCAATCAGTCCATCCTTTTAACTCTGCCAAGGCTTCACTTCAAATAAAGTCAGGTCCTCCCCCCATCCCCAGGCACTGCCCACCCCTTCCCAGCTCATCACCACAGACTCACTGGCCCTCCCTCACCTCCTTCAAAGGCATCAGCTTCGTTTCCACTCTTGACTTTCTGGTTCCTCTGTCTGGAAGGAAGGCTCTTTCCCTCTGATCTGTTTCTTCTCAGGTTGCAAGTCTCAACTCAGATGTCATCTCCTGCACAAACCAGTGCTGACCAGGGTCACCACCATCACTTCAACCTGCATGGATCACTCTGCTCTGCTTATTCTAGTGCTTATCAAGATTGGCAAGTGAGCTAGGCACGATGATGCACACCTGTAATCCCAGTGGYTCAGGAGGCTGAGGCAAGAGGATCGTGAGTTCAAAGCCAGCCTCAGCAAAAAACGAAGTGCTAAGCAACTCAGTGAGACTCTCTCTCTAAATAAAATTCAAAATAGGGATTGGGATGTGGCTCAGTGATTGAGTGCCCCTTAGTTTAATCACTCATGCCCCAAATAATAATAAGAAGAAGAAGGAAGGAAGGGAGGGAGGGAAAGAAAGAAAGAAAGAAAGAAAGAAAGAAAGAAAGAAAGAAAGAAAGAAAGAAAGAAAGAAAGAAAGAAAGAAAGAGAAAGAGAGAGAAAGAAAGAGGGAAGGAGGGAGGACTGGGGATGTTGTTCAGTGGTTAAGTGCCACTGGGTTCAATCCCAGCTTAAAAGGGAGGGGGGGGCGCAGATTGACAGGTGATGTCCAGTGGGGACTTTTCCTTTGAAGGAAATCACAGACCATGTATCAAGTTGAATACTTTCATCTGACGGAAAAACACTGGGTACTCTTTATAGATAAAAGGAAGCCAATTTTGGAATTTATGAATGAAACACACAACTATAATTTCTGTGCCAAAATAAGTTTATTAGGAGGATTAACAAAGGATTTTTATTACATCACCAAAATCCAAAAGTGTGACAAAGAAGATTAAGTCCAGTTATGTTCTGTTGCACAGGCAGCCCAGCAGCTGTACCACACTTAATATCATCATTTTCAAATTGCATTTAGATAAGTTTTGCCAGCACATAACATGTCGTGCAAATGTGTCATTGTAACAGTAGTTACTACTTGATCCTGTTGTAGATCTCTGTGTGTGACTCAAAAGACAGGCTCTGCACTCTCCTGTGCTGGAGAATCAGACCAGGAGATGCCGTGGAAAGTCAGAGCTGCTGTGATAAAGGGTTTCTCCTTTGTCTGGTGTGGTCATTGTTGGAGTTGAGATGTGACTGAAGTCCTTGTCCTCCTCCTGGCAGTGGGGCCTCTAGCGCCCAAAATTGCTGCAAGGCCCACACCGAGATCGTGTGACACAGGGATTGGAGACACAGGGCCCAATGGGCTTGTCGCAGGCGTTGGTTGTGGCACAGGGATTACAGGGAAGTCTGGTGACATAAAATCATTGGAACAAGTTAGAATAAAATGGGCTGAAGGAATAAGACACTAAAAGCATTTTGAGTCAGAATGTCACCCTACAGCATGAAATGATAAGCCATTTCCATCAGGAAGACTTTTCACTGCCACCKCAACCTCACGTGTCCCAGTGAAAGGATCAGTAGCCCTGCACTCACTTGCAGTCCTCGCTGTCCAGCAGGCTCCGGTACGTGTTGATCTCACACTCCAGCCGGGCCCGGATGTCCAGCAGCACCTGGTACTCCTGGTTCTGACGCTCCAGGTCAGCCCGGATCTCGGCCAGCTGGGACTCCACGTTGGTGATCATGCCCTGCACCTGGGACAGCTGGGAGCTGTAGCGGGCCTCACTCTCTGTCAGCGTGTTTTCCAGAGAGTTCCTCTGTGGTGGGGAAGATAAAGGGGTGTCAGAGAGCTGCCCCCCCCATTAAGGAGCTTCTCCATGGGCTTGCAGAGTCACCAGCTCCAAGGGCTAAGGAGAGTGTGAGGCCCAGAGGTGACTCTGCTCCCCAATTTTGCAATACACACCAGGT